GTTAAGAGTCGTGAGTGAGCAGGCGGTCAATGAAGTCAGTAAAAAACAGGAAATAAAAAGAGTTTTTGGGTGAGTCAGTGCAACCAGCAGAGGTCCTTGAGCATGCAACCCAAAATGTAATGCAGTTTGCGGGATTAGCCGAGGACAGACACAGAGATGGACACTCAAAAGACACAGAGAGGACAGAGATGCACACTCAAATGATCGCATGATCCCCTGGCTGGTATAAAGAGGGTTTTTTTCTCCCACTAGATCAAATGCCTTCAGCAGATTACAAAAACACCACAATCAGACTGATATTTACAGTTCCACCCGTCCACTGTTATCACAGCAGGCTTCAGAAAAGGTTGTGACCTCGTCATTAGTTTTTTAAAGCAACACGAGGATGAATCTGCCAAACTACAGGGACACAAAGTGATCAACGTAAAGGCCGCGTCCATTTTTTCTCTTTTGTAAAAGATTAGCAATGACCTAACTTGACCCCCAAAACTTGATATAATAAAACTGTCTATCTACATGCTGGCTGCGGTTAGTCATTAGTGTTAAGAAAGTACAAGCTTGGAGAAAGAACATAACCCTCAGGGAGACGGAGAAAAAGAGATCTGTCAGTAAGAAAGTCATTTACAGGAGCTGCTCGGCGAAAAAAAAAAAAAAGCCGCAGAGGACCTTCACTTCACAAGTCTTCACACTTCAGACTTATCAAGCCATTTATAAGACATCCAAAATCAAATTAGTTACAGTCGAGAGCTTTGTTTCAGCAAAAGTAAAACATTTCAAGATGCTGAGCTGAGCGAGACATCCTAACGTGTACATACGTTGATGCTGTTTTTTAATATTCCGTTTTATTTCTTCAGTCACAAGTAAAAGTCAGAATGAGACACCCGGTTCAGATAATTGTGTGTTAATCGACAAGACACAACAGCTCATGTTAGCCTCTCGTAGCTGCCGCAGCAAACTAAATCAGACGGGCCGAGTGTTCGCTAACTGCCTGCATCAAAAACGACGGAGAGACCAGAAGTACACAAGTGGCTGGTGAGTAAAAAAAAGAGGAACATCTACCCGCTTAAAGAGACAGATATTTTTGGTGCAGATTAAACCGGAGCTCAAAGGAGAGAGAGTATTGAACTTCGATGAAGCGGACAGAAACTTCATTGGGTGATGAAATGTCAGGAATCTGATTCTGTGACAAAGTTTTTTTCTGCCCCTTAGAAATCAAAACTTGTTAAATTACAAGAGTGAGTACTATTGTCATTTATTGAGGTTTAAATTATATGTAAGTGTCCCACAACTGTTTCAACCTATAGCTTAATTAGTTAGTTACTACAAGTGTTGCTGTAGTTTTACCAGCTTACTATCTATTTTTTGCTTCTTTCATTGTACTCTTAATAAGCTAAAAAAAGAGTAAATGTCATGCGAAGTTGCCTAAAACAAGTTGTTCTTTTCTTCGTTCAATCAAACTGTATTTGTATAGCGCCTTTCATACAGGTTAGTGCAGTTCAAAGTGCTTCACAGACGACTGCCGAGCCGAAAAATAACAACAAAAACAACTGAAATGATGTTTGAGGGATGAATCCAGGATGTCCAGCTGATTCAGCAGTGAAAAAAGGTTAAAAAGATAAAGATAGAAGATAAAGCTACAGAGCACAGCGTGAAAGTGCTCTTTATTCACTGTTACAATCATCAAAAATGTGTAAAAATGTTGTTTAGCGTAGCATAGACGTGCTAACGCTAGTTACCGATGTGCTAACGTACTCTAATGTTAGTTTCACAGGTTTTTAACATCAGTAGTTTAAATGGTTGTTCCCAAAGTTTCAGGACGTTGAAGTGAAGACGAAACACATTTTCTAAAATATGTCCGTGTTTTAAGTTTTTCAACACGTAGCTGATCCGGCTCAGTTGCTTCTAAGCAGCTGTTTTTTCTAGAATAAACTCTGAGCTTACAAGAAGCCATCTGGCTTTCAGTGAGCTTTGTTTTCCGCCTCACAACCAACGTTTTCTCCTGTGGGGTTTATGAAAACTTCATTCTCACTATGGGTCAGGCTATTTCCCAAACTCTTTTCCCCAAAACTCTCCCTCAGTTTAAGTAAAAGACAATAAATGAATATTTTCACATGGCAACGAGACAACACATCGTCTGTTTTGTTGCCATGCAGTGCACCAAAAAGCTTCTAAACTGTGTGTTTAATTTGACTTTACTGAGCAGCGATTTCCAAGCTATCCAGCACGTCATGTTTAATGGACATCAAAACCCATCTTCAGCAGGGCTAATGCAACCCAACGACATCTTTAATGACATAATGCAAACCAATGCCGTCTTTGATTAAATAATGCAAATGTAATGTTTCGTTCCGTAATAGAATAATGTAACATAAATTCGTTACTTAATGGAATTACGGTAGCTGCAGTAATCACTTGTCTGGCGAGCTAATGCTGACTGAAGCAGGAGATCCCTGCGGTAATGGCCGGGGATGGCGGCTGTTCTGGTACCACGAGGGATTGAACGAGGGCGTCTGAGCTTCCCCTCCGCTTTTGTCACTGTCGTTCTGTTCGTCTCCATCTGTCCTCCGTCACGTTCTCAGTCTGACTCGCTCGGTTTTTTATGTCTTTCATTCTCTATCTGTCCTTCCGTCTCTCTTCTAATGGAGCTTCTCGAAAGGTGACTTTTATTTTTTAGAGACAAGAAAGTTGAAAATGTCCAATTTATGCAAGCTGCACACACACACGCACACAGAGCGGCCAGATCTCCACTGAAGGTCG